TTCATGGTGAAGGAATAGCTTGAGGGTAGCTGAAAGCTATTGTGTTTGTTAACAAAATGCACTACGCTAAAAGCTAGTGTAAAGATCTTTCGAGTGTTTTGAGTTTGAGAGAATGAAAGTTATGAGAGAGATTAGAAAGCTATGAAAACTAATCAACGAGAGAGATCATCATCAAGGGATCGTAGATCTGGCTTCCCGCGGGAGACTGTAAAGTGTGATAGAGTAGGTTGTGGTGGTAATCCTACGTCTTTCCACGATCCTAAAACGGAACGCGTGGAAGGTTTGTCTAGCTTGGATCTAGTAGCGTGGAAGTACTCCACGCTAGCTAAATATCTAGAGCGATGTTTCATCATCAACCTAGTATGACTAGCGCGGTCATTGAGAACCCTGTCTCAAATGACTATTCACGAGAGACTCAGTCATGAGTCGAACTCAAACCCTATCTAGGATCGAGTCGCGAATAAGGCTTAGAGCCGTGTATTGCACAAGCCCCAGCGTCAAAGCAGGGAAAACGAGGAGAATCAGCAACCCAATGGACAGACTTGAGCCCGAAGGGAGCCATTTGCATCCGTATTAAGAACAACAACAACAACAAAATCTCGAGTAGCGTTTAAGCAACCACTTATAGATAAGGAATTAACAGAAAAAATACAAATGAATGGTCCCCCGACAGCACCCATAGTTGAAGCAGCACAGCCCGAACATGAAGAAAGTCCACTCGTTGCAGATACAGGCAGCACAGGACACTTTCTATCCACGGACTTTATAGCCATCAACAATGAAAACATTACAGACATCCGTCTAGACGAAAACCCCATACGAGTCACACTTCCCGATAACTCCATCATCCTATCCACTCATACGTGCCATCTGGATCTACCCAATCTTCCGAAAGCAGCCACAAAAGCGTATCTATTTCCCTCCTTAGGAGCAACCTCTCTCCTGTCAATCGGCAACCTATGCGACGCAGGATGTGAAGCAATCTTTCGAGCACACGAATGCTTGAAAAAAAAATAACGAGATTTTATTTTAAAGGCTACACCTCGTCAGACGATCCGCTGAACGGTGCCGTGACGAACCCATATACCTCAGGCGCACAAGTGCGCCCACTTAGGATGGGCCTAGTGTAAGCCCCCCACCGGAGAAATTTAACAAAACTCCGGAGGGTGCTGTACGACTAACTAGCTACCCTTGGCTGGATTGCCATCTATTTCTACGGTAAGACCCCCTCTGTGCATAGTTACCCTGTGTCATTGCTCTGCATTGTGCGTGTATGTTCGTCCCTGAGTGCCTTGTCGACGACGGGCAGCCAAGTGGCAAGCCACGCTTTGATGTCGCCTGGGCCCTTTGCCATTTGCTCCTCCAGCGGTCGCTTGAAGATAAAATCAACCAGCTCCGCTGGGATCAGATCCGCTTTCTCGTAGATGAGTTCCACTTCCCGCTGAAGCTGTTCGTGCTTCTTCTTCCACTGGTCTTCCCTGTCTTTGCCATGCCTGGCAGCATTTCGATCCTCCCACAGGTTCCACCACTGCTGGATGAGCAGTGAGGCTAGGTTGGTGACCCAGAGCTGCCCTGTCTTGGTGGTAAGCACACGAATGCTTGATCTCCTTTATGGGAGATGTCATCCTTACAGGACAACGAAATATCACCACGAACAACTTATGGCAAATACAGCTAAACAATACCACACATCAAGCCAATCTTATGGCAACCACCCCTACAGCAACACCAGCAGACTTGGTAGCCTTTGCGCATGCAGCCCTATTCTCACCGGTGCCCTCGACCTTACAGTCAGCTTTAAAGAAAAAATATATAATAAACATGCCTGGACTCACTCTGGAAGCATTCAACAAGCATACACCACACTCTGTGGCAACCATCAAAGGCCACATGAACCAGCAACGACAAGGCATTCAATCAACCAAGGCACCACCAGAACCACTCCCCCTTCTACCTGAAGACTTCGACATGTTCCCAGAACAGGAAGATACAACAACACACAGCCTACAACACGCATGCTATGCAGCAACCTTACAACCAACTGGCAAATCATTCTCTGACCAAACAGGTCACTTCTTCATCCCGTCCAGCAACGGCAACAACTACCTCTTTGTCCTATATCATTATGGCAGCAACTCCATTCACGCAGAACCAATGCCAACACGATCAGCCCAGTCGCATGTCAAAGCATGGACAACGATTCACAACAAACTTGTACGTGCCGGATTGAGACCACAGCTTCATATGCTAGATAATGAGTGCTCCCAGCTCCTTCGCGATCATATCAACGAATCTGGCATAGCGTTACAAACGACACCAGCTGGCATCCACCGTCGCAACGCCGCCGAAAGAGCCATCCAGACATACAAGAGCCACCTGATCGCAGGACTTTGCACAACCGACACCAACTTCCCACTAGTACACCTCTGGGACCGCCTAATCCAACAATGCACAATCACGCTCAACCACTTGCGAGGCTCTCGCATCAATCCACAGTTGTCAGCCCATGCACAAGTCTTCGGCCTGTTCGACTTCCAAGCCACTCCCATCGCTCCTCCAGGCATCCACGTGGTCGTCCACGAAAAGCCCCACGAAAGAGCTTCCTGGGCTCCGAAAGGCAAAGATGGCTGGTACATAGGCCCAGAGCTCGACGCATATCGCTGCTTTCGAACCTGGATTTGGGATACACAAAGAGAACGAAAGGCAGACACTCTAGCATGGTTCCCAGAACGGCTGCAGATGCCATTGCCAACACCCCTAGACCTCGCAATCGGAGGCATTCGAGATATCGCAACAGCCCTCACCAAGACAAACACCGACCCAGCCTCGCAGACACTCACCGAAAGCGAAGCAGCCACCCTACTGGACCCCGCCCACATCTTCGACAAGCGACTCCACAGCCAACTGACGCCCGAGAACTCAGCAGACACCACCGACAAACTCCACCAACCCCGTCAACCGACAGATAATGGCGCAGTTCTGAGGGTGGGAGAGCAAGCACCCACGTATCAAGCAACTGCAAAACAACGTAGCAAACGAAAACCGAAAAAGAAAGCAATTGCGACCAACACGACAACACCGAACAAAGAACAACCACCGTCCGACACCGCCCAGCATGCCGAACACAGTGCCCACAAGGCTGTCAATCCAGACACTGGTGTCCTCTCGGACTACCGCGTCCTTAAGAACTCATCAGATGGCCACCACTGGATCAACGCATGCTGCAACGAGATCGGCCGATTGGCAAAAGGCAGAAAGTCCACCGGCCTTGCTGGAACAGAAACAATCCGCTTTATCAAACACATGGACCTACCAGCAGGACGCAAAGCAACCTACCTAAGGGTCGTGTGTGACGACCGACCACAGAAAGCAGAGATCCGCCGAGTGCGATTCACTGTTGGAGGCGATCGCATTGAATACCCCTTCGATGTCAGTACAAAGACTGCATCGCTCAACACCGTCAAGATGCATCTTAATAGCGTCATCTCAACCCCTGATGCGCGATTCATGCCCATCGATATCAAAGACTTCTACCCACACCCATGGACCGACCGGAATACACGAGAATCCCTGTAGAATGCATTCCCGATGAAATCTTGGAACAATACCAACTACACGACCTCATACACAATGGCTCCGTCTTGGTTGAAATCAACAGAGGCATGTACGGGCTTCCACAGGCAGGCAGAATTGCGAATGATGAACTAGTCGCATATCTCTCCCAACACGGTTACACCCAATCCAAGCATGTACATGGACTATTCAGCCATTCCCACCGACCCGTGGCCTTTACCCTTGTGGTCGACGACTTCGGAGTCAAATATGTCGGCAAAGAGCATGCAATGCACCTAATAGACACCCTCGCAGCAGCCTACAAGATCACGACCGATTGGAACGGAGAGCTCTACTGTGGCATCCACTTGAAATGGGCTTACCAACAAAACACAGTAGACCTATCAATGCCAGGCTATGTCAAACGCGCATTACTGCGATTCAACCACAGTCAACCGGAACGACCACAGCATGCTCCCCACAAATGGAATGTGCCCCAGTATGGCCAACCGATTCAATACACGGAACCGGAAGACAAATCCAAGCCACTACCCCCATCCGGAATAAAACACATCCAGGAAGTAGTCGGCGTACTCCTATACTATGCAAGAGCAGTAGACTGCACTATGTTAATGGCGTTAGGCGACATTGCCGCAGAACAGACCAAAGGAACCGAGAAAACACTCGAAGCCACCGTCATGCTGCTAAACTATGCAGCCACCCATCCAGACGCAGTCCTACGATACTGCAGGAGTGACATGATCCTCCATCTCCACTCTGATGCCTCCTACCTCTCAGCCCCCAAAGCACGATCACGAGCTGGAGGCTACTTTTATCTAAGCAATGGCAGCCAATCATGATGTCAGCAAGCCAGCAATGCATGAATTACTAGCCGTTAGGAGCTGTTAGAGTAGGCACTCCCCAGCTGGCCTGTGTGCTCCAGCCAGGGACATCCACCAAGAACTTAGCTCATAATTGTTAATAACAAATCTTTACTAACTAATTCTTCACTGGGCCCCAGCCTGGATCAACAGGATCGGCTCCTTTTGAAAAGGCTTTCCGACGCGTGACCTGTGACCGTGGATATGTTTCCACGACGGTGTCCCACTTTACTCTTTCTTGCCCGGCAATTCCCTATGCATGTGCACACACAATACAGACACACAAAACCTTGCAAACAAGCCGGTATAGAGTCGCCCTTCAATTACCAACAGACCACAAGCAAGTCAGTTCTGCGAGGAGTGATAGGCAGACAAAGTTCGTTGCAAAACGATAATCCAGCGATGAGGTTCCGAAAGCGATGAAACCTTCGATTGCGTCGTTGTTCCTCTTTCCTTCGCGTCTTGCAAGCAAGCTGAATGTTCCATAAATTTGAAACTTTGGACATCGTATCAAGGGTTCTTTCTCGACACAAGCTTCTATCGGATTCATACTTCCATATCCAAAGGATGCGTCCCTCCATTCATCAACTGGCTGCTCTCGTGGTTCTGCTTTCTTTCGTTGCGGCCACCGCCAACGAAACGGCCGCAGTTCGTACCGGTAAGCACGTCAGAGAGCTCAAGAAAGGTTCCAAGGGCGAGGGTGAGGATCCACTTCCTGGTGACAGTAGTGACGACCATGACGAAGAAGCCATGTCGGATGGAGGCAAAAGGAAGGGCAAGAAACAAGACCCTGGCATTCCTAAAGGAGCGAAGATCAAGGGCAAGAAGAAAGACGATCAAGATTCTGCTGACGAGGACGCCCCTGAAGGATCTGGAGGAAAGATCAAGGGCCAGAAGAAGAAAGACGAGGGCGACGAGGACGACACGGATGCCAATGCCGGCAAAGGTGGCGGAAAGGCTGACAAGCAAGGCAAAACAGAAGATGACAACTCAACTGACACGGATACAGACGGCAACGGATCCGGAAAAGGGAAGGATAAAGTGAACGATGGTAAAGATGAAAAGGAGTCTAACAAGAAGAATAGCGAGACCAAAGTCAGAGGAAAGAGAAAGGGAGACTGAGTCTTCGCGGAGAACAAAACAAGTATCTGCTGCCCGTAAGGCATGACTGGAATTGAGAAGTTTTGGAGTTGTTGTGGTTATTATTGCTGGCTACGTAGCGTCGTGGTAATTGGAGTCTTGGGGAAGGCTGTTTGAAGTCAAGGTGTTTAGTTGGACAGCTGCGATGGGCTCTGGTGCGTTGTGGTTAGAGGATAAATAATGTACATGTAAACAGCCCAGCAAAGCAGAAATCACTGTCTACTACACTGTAGCTACCTCTCACTATGTGGATACGGTGCTACCGTAGCTGTAGCTGTCTCCCACTGTAGCTACGGTAGTTTGCTCTATGGTAGATTTGCACAACCTAACGGTGCAGGTGACGAGGACCTACTAGAAAACGAGGACAAGCGCGGGAGTGGGTGATCTGGACTCGTCACTCGACTCGACTCAGTCGAGTTGGACATGATGAGACCTCCTTCGCGCACGCCGACAAAAGTTACTCACAGTTAGGTTGCTGAACCAGTGTCCGACAATGGGACAGTGCGAATGTGCATCTGCCGTTTGGATCCTTGAGCGCACCAATACTAAGGCCGATTGCATTCAAAAGTACGAAGTAGTCGAAGGACGTAATCTATCTACTTGATAGAGGCGTTGTGGACAGGGATCGATCGATCGTGCCAAACCATCATGGTGGATCTTTGGCCTTGGGGAAAGCTGTTCTGAAGGTTCGGCTTCTGTTCAGGTCATTTTTCTTTGATTGCATCGCGTAACCATGAAGAGCTTCTACCTCGCTGTTCTTATCGCCCTAGTGGCTCTCAGTGTCAATGCAGGAACTGCTAAACGTCCCGTTGACGACTATCGCGATGACTTTGTCCGGGAGCTGAAGAGTCTCGATAGTCTACAGATGTCCCCATCCGAGGCCCAAAAGGAAGTGATGTCCCTCTTTGAAAGATATGAGGTTGGATCTGCTCATCAACGCAAACTACTCTTTTTCAATCTGAACCTTGGTGACATGGACTTTGGGGAGACAATGCTGGAAGCGCTCGTCTTCGTCATCGACTTGGCCAACGACACCTTGAGCCAAGGAGATACCGGTGCCGATACCAGCGAATCAGCAACGGTTCCAAATGGAGGAAGTTCAGTAGTCGAGGAAACCCCTGCAGGTGAGGCTAGTGAGGTTGTTATTTCTTTTACTCCATTTTCAGCGCCCCCGATCGTGGTTCCTCCTTCCATCACTCTGCCACCTATTTCTGCTCCTCCGGTTTCCGTGCCGCCGATTTCTGCGCCTCCCATAACCATGCCACCAGTGCCGGCGACCCCTGCACCTAACAGTCCACCTCCTGTTTCATTAATCGCGGTCACAGCGCCTCCAATCACCGCGCCTCCGGTCACAGCACCCCCTGTCACAGCGCCTCCGGTTTCAGCTCCCCCCGTTACAGCTTATCCAGTGACTAACGTTCTTGCTACTTCTGGTTCAGGTCCTGACACAGCGACGAATGGTGCGGGTCTTGTCATCGTCAGCGGCCCGAATGGGAATGCGGCTCCTGTTCAAGAAGAAGCACTCCCAGCTAGCGATGGCAATGAAAATGGCAATGGAAATGACAATGGCAAAGATAAAGACGACAAGAAAGGCAACAAGGGAAAGAACAAGGGAGGCAGGAACAGAAGGAAGAGGCGACTGGCGCCAAAAGGATTATAAGCACTGAGCATGAAACCTCGGAGACAGGATTATTGCATAAGGAGTTTGTTCCTGGCAATGGAGACGACGGCTCTTCCGCCGCATGGTTCATATTGATGTGTGGCGGCAAAGAGTTGGCGGAAGCTGGCTCAAATTCATTGATACATGGAGACTACAAGGGGCTTCTTCTAGCATGAAAGTGCTACCAAAAGGAACTGGACAGGAACAAGCAAAAACACAAGCTAAACACTACTTAGTAGGAATTCGTTGGGCCACCAAGGGCACACACCTGTGCATTTATATTCTTTCAAGTTTGCAAGTAAAGTAGGTGACGGTGACATTCGATCGATTCGTTGCCTGCCTCAAAACGACTAGCATTGACACTTGACAAAAGAGAGGGAACACCACACTTGTTGGTTCATGTTGGAGCCGTCGCCAGAACTGCTTTTGGTTGGGCTGTGAAAGGCGTTCACTGGGCCTCAGCAGCTTGCTGGAAAGAGTTAGACGATCTCCAGCGTTTAGGGAGCTTCATCCTCTTTCAAAAGACAATCCAGCACAAGCGATGTTTCGTCATCCTTTGCTGCATGTTTTGTACGAATCGGATCATACTGGCTGTTCAGCGCATGGGGCCAACGACCTAGACCGCATCTACCATTTTGCCCCTGAAAATTCTTTGGTACTTGTACCAGGTAGCTACCTTCCTTCCAATGTGTTCTTCCTTGACCGCCGTCTTTTTCTGGGGAGTTGCCTTCTTTCTACCGGTAGACGGAGCTCTTTTTGACCTATTTCCCATCTTGTACTGGCATTGGTGCCTTCCTACTCGGAAATTTTTTTAAGCTAGTACTATAAAGGTTGAGCCCCCGCAGGGGGCTCTGAACCATAAAGATTGGGCCCCTTGGGGCCCAACCACCAAGCTAGCTAGCTAGTGGGAGTGGAACACATGGCTTCAGGGTGTGGCCAGGGTCCTGGGAAATTCCCATCCCAAAAACAAAGTTCGAAGATGCAGGAGTCTGCTGCAGTGCATTTGAGGGCAAGTCCAGAAGA